TAAGAAAGACAAAAGGATGACAGGCTTAGAAAGTTTTCTTACCAGTTCTATCGCGTTGACAAGTCCTCGTTCACCACACAGCAGATGGGCTAATTCGCTCTTACTATGTTTTTCACTATAGAAGTACTTCACCAACGCATTCACAGATTCGCCAAGTATTTGTTGGATCTCAGTAATGCGCGTTTCTGAGAAAACAGCAATTCAAGCAAACGAAAGTGTGCGAATAAAAGAAGCTATCTCACTTGGTGTCGAGTCATAGGGTCGAGTTTGCGATGGACTGCGTTCTCTCTGTGGAGTTTGACTTCTAGACGAGACTCTTCCCCTTCTAGCTGCACGTGCTGGTGAATTCGGCACCGTGCCAAATCCTGAGTCTCCGTTTTCATCGTCGCAGACAGGTTCTGCTACCAGTAATCTGAATGACTCATATCACGCAACCCCAGCAAGAAGCTCAATAAAGCTGAGCAAACCTTTCCAAGCTGACATCGCATCCATTTCCAAACCATCGACTATCTTCTACACCTTGACCAAACCAACGCCCACAAGGAAATCTGTACATCTGACCAGTGATCTCATTCCGAACGATGACCTGAATACACGAAACGATTGCGGCATCCTTTAGCGCATAGTTTACTACTTTACACTAACATCGACAAACCGAAATGACACATCTGATATTTTCATCATCAAGACTTGACGGAATTTGGACCCAATACATTTATCGGCTCTCACACATGGCTTTACCGAATGTTGGAGCTTATAGTAAACCTTTTACTAAGATATACTACGCTTACTGGGTAACCCAACGTTTATAATACAATATGTTGGGTAAATTTGGTTTCTGAAGGCTTTTGTGAAGGGTGGGAGTGGGGAGGAGAAAACTTTTTCTCGAATAAGGAGGTGCTAGCCACCCCTCCGAAAATTTTCAGGATGCCTTTCGAATTTTAGCGCACCCATAACCTCGAACTAGCCAGGCCTCCAAAACAAATTTTTTTTCTACATATCGCGTGAATTTTTGAAAAACGAAAAATTATTTCAGTCATTTACAAATGAAAGCAACCTTTTGCGTGTATACTTTCAAAACTTCCGACCGCTTTCATCACTTTCAGCGATTACCTGGCGCAAACTTGATAAGATAAAAGTCATTAAATCCTACAATTACACTCGAACTCTCCTGAGGCTACCGCGGTGAACTTTTTTATGCTGTATGCACATAGGAGCTGACACATGGTTAGAAGATAGGTGTG